GCACACAGTCCACCTGATGGTAAGTGGTTGCTGTGGCCCATAGACATCTACTTTTGTCCTCGTTTGCGAATCAAAATGCAGATGCATTGTCTCCCGTGAGGATTAAGATGGAATGCCTCTTTTCCAGTAAAAAGGGTCTCCGGTTCTCTACACTCACCATACGAAACACAGCAGTGTTAAGCTGCTATTTGACGCTGGTATTCTGTGAGAGCGTGGTCCTTCCCCGGTCGAGCCGACCCATTCGTGCTACAACTATACTACTAATATAGCTGCAGCATGGCTCTACCAGGTACAATATATTTTGTGATTAGTTTGTGATTCACTTTACTAACTTACTAGTTTATATTTTTTACAGGAACAATTCCATACCACCCATAAATCAATTATTAATAGCTTTAAGATATTACGCCACAGGCAATCACTTGCTTGCTGTGGTTGATATGGGTGGTACTAGTTTGGCTACATCCAGCCGGATAGTAAAGAGAGTGTCTCAAGCAATTGTATCCCTACGTCGAGAATTCATTATATTCCCTGATACAAACGGAGACCAAGACAGAGTTAAGATAGACTTCTATGGTATAGCTAGATTCCCTAATGTACTAGGCTGTATTGATTATACACATGTAAAAATTCAGTCACCAGGTAAATTCCTCATTATGATTTAACTACCTTTCACTAAATCTCTCTTAGTAGCCTATCAAGCAATACTGATGAAATATTATTTATATCTATAGGTGGAGATGATGCTGAACTATTTAGAAACAGAAAAGGCTACATGTCCATAAATGTCCAAACAATTGCATCAGCAAAGTTCTTGGTCCAGGATGTTGTTGCACGCTGGCCAGGCTCTACACATGATTCAGCAATTTACCAAAATAGCTATATTTATAGAAAGTTTGAAAGAGGGGAGTATGGAGACAGCCATTTACTTGGGGATAGTGGCTATCCCTTAAAGGTAAGGGATAGCCACTATCCCCAAGATAAAATATATATATATTTTACCATATATTTTATTATAATAACTATCCCAAAGGTAAAATAAAAAATAACCAGAATAATAATAATAATCTTTATTAAAACTTATGTAGGTTGCAAAAAAAAAAAATACAAAAATTACAAACAAACAATAACATCATAACATCACAGAGCTCAAAATATTGATTAAATAAATAGTTATTATATAATAAAAAGATTATGCATAGGCAAGGGATATTTAATTAATTAAAAAGTATACTTAAACTAGTTATTTGCAGAACCATTTTTAGGTATTCCTGATACATTTTGAAAGTTTAAAGTATGACCTGGAATAGAAAAGAAATATTTTACATCATATAAATTACATTATTATATACAATATTACTTAAAAACATTTTTATTTTTAGCCTCATCTCTTGACACCTTATCTCAACCCTACAACAAGTGGAGAACGAAAATATAATGAGGCCCACATTAGAACAAGAAATGTGGTGGAACGGCAATATGGTGTGCTAAAACGAAGGCTTCCAGTACTTGCGGTTGGAATTCGTTTAGCTTTAAATAATGCCATTAATGTCATTATAACTTGCTGTATCTTGCATAATATATGCATATTAAGAAATGAGCAACAGCCTGTGAATAATGATGATGTGCCTAACCAGGAAGAGCTAATTACAAGGGGACAAATAAATAATATGGCATTTTCTGACAGACCTTCTTTGTCATATGGATTTCGCAGAAATCAAATTACCCAATATTTTGATAAATTATAAATATTTAATTTATTATGTAAAATATATATATATATATATATATATATATAGTAATTTCACCAATGAATAAAACATATACCTTTTAGTTGGTTGCAATACTTCAGTTTTAATTTCCAATTCTTTTCTAGCTGTTTCTGACTGCAGCTGGTACAATTCTCTCTTAAATTTTATTTCTTCTTCTAACATTTTAATTTTTAAATCCTCCACAATATTCTTTTTAGAATTCAAATCTTTAAAACCTCCACATAGCGTTGAAACAACTTCAGCTTTATCCTTATTTTCTTTAATTATTGGTCGTCGCCTTTTCCATATAGGTGTGGACTTTATAAATTGAGATGATGTTGGTGATGACAGTGTTGGAGCAATGTCATTATTATTCCGAACATCCTTAATTTCAATATTTTCCACATTTCTTGTATTGCACTAAAATTTTAACAAAACAAATTCTATTATAAAATTCACAGTGTAAATATAATATAATCATACAGTGGGTCAACACCTATACAAATGACAGAAATAATTTTGTATTAAAAATTCTGCCAGTTTAGTTCATCTTATCTTTGTCGTCCCGCAGTGATTCTCTGTCTAGCCCTCTATTGAACCACTGGTAGGGAAGAAATCACCTTAGACTGTGATAAAATAATAACTCACAAACATAATAATATACCTTACTTACTTTTATATAATATTATAATATGTAACAAACTTATTGCCCTGATGCTATGGCATTTGAACTATTGGCTTAGCTTTCCATTGACGTCAGTGGAGTTTGGTGTTGATACGTATTTTTACAGAAAGATTACACTATTATCAGCACTCACACAAAGTCTCAATATACGGAAACGCGTAATTTTTGAGAAAAGAATAATTGAAAATCAATTATTCTTGCAATGTTTATGTCTAATCTGCTAATAAACTGGCGCCATTTTGTAATGGCATTGTCGACGTCAATAGGGATGTCGATTCTTTCCGAAAAAGGTCGATTTTTAAATCGATTCAAATCGTAAGCTGATGTATCGGTTCACAAAAAATCTAATTCTAAAATATCTATATTTTTTTAATGTTTCTATTTATAATGTAAATATAAACCCATTTTATGAAAAACAAGAAAGATACCATGATAAATGATCTCTTATTGAAATTTGTTTTATTTAACAGTACCTATTAGGGCAGATAACAAATAAAATAGGTTAGGTTCAACTTATGTCAAAGAACCGAATTGATTGACCCCGACTCCACCTGGTACGAGTCTGTCCTACCCCTAGAGTGGTTTTATAGAGCCGGAGGCGCGTAGGGGGAGCAGCCTCCGCCTGCTGTAACAAATCGTAGGCATGCCTGCCATGCCTGCCGGAGGGATGCGTGCGATTTGTTACGCTAAGGCGTAGAGGTTGCTCTTCCCGCAGCGCCGGAGACGTAGCAGTCTCCAAATAGATACAGAAATCCTTATGAATCAGTCCCCTTATTTTTTTATGATGAAGGGGATTTTTTTCTCATAAAATGGATTTATATTTACATTATAAATGCAAACATGAAAAAAAAATCGATATTTTAGAAATCGATTTTTTGGGAATCGATACATCAGCTTACAATTCGAATCTATTTAAAAAAATCGATCTTTTTCGGAAAGAATCGACATCCTTATTGACGTCGACAATGACATTACAAAATTGCGCCACTTTATTAGCAGATTAGACATAAACATTGCAAGAATAATTGATTTTCAATTATTCTTTTCTCAAAAATTACGCGTTTCCGTATATTGAGACTTTGTGTGTGTGCTTATAATAGTGTAATCTTTCTGTAAAAATACGTATCAACACGAAACTCCACTGACGTCAATGGAAAGTCCTACCCATTTGTTGTACCGTCCGTCTTTTTATTTAATATTACATTTTTAAATGTATTCATTAACTTTACAAGTTTATCCTTTTCATCAAACGTGAATTTTTGATACCGCTTTCTCTTATTTTCGGCCATAATAATTATGGCCGAAAATCTAACTTTTTATTTTATAATTATTATAAAATAAAAAGTTAGAAACGAGTTGCCAAACGAAAACACCACGGTCTTATTAGCTCCGAACAATGAAGATTGAGTATTATCCGATTTTTCACACATACCTTTAAAATCTTAGTACACCAATTATCGTATGGACTATTCTAATTAGTCGTATTATATTTTCGGTCATATGTCGATATATGACTATAGATGGCGTTTTTTTAAATCCAAGCGATTTAAAACAGATAACACAAACTTTTTTATCTGTAGGCTTGTGACACAGCGGTAATAATTACGTTCAAATTCACGCAAAATCTCAAGATGTGTATTAGGCCTTACTTCTGAAATTAAATGTAAAAAAACAATTTTAGTAAGTATTTCACTTTACATATATTCTTTTATGTTTTATTTTACATAATCACAGGACCCATTTCAACTTTCACTTAAAATTTAAAATACCATTTAATTTGATTGAAAACATTGTTTTCCTGTAACTAAACGTAGGGCCATCCATATGCGCCATCTTAATTTTTTGACATTTACTTCTGTTCTATCTTTCGAGTGCGAATGGACGTATTTTTTCTAAATTCTGTATCTTTATTACTTTACTCTGCTCCAAATTCTGACCTGGCACGCTTACGGACTCCGAAAACGATAGCTTTGATTGTAGACCTCTGCACAAACTTTGGACCTCTGTTTTTTTGCTTTCTGATTTGGTATTTGTCGACTATGTCTGTACACAAGTGCTATGTACCTAATTGCGGAACTACTCGTAAGTTTTACACTATTTTTACTTTTATATATAAGGAAAATTATTGAAGTATCAGGCACCGTGGCCCATTTGAAACAGTTTTTTCATTAGTGCATTATTCCCACAACTTGCCGCTTTATGAAAATGGGCGCGATTCCTGAGAAATAAATGTATGCCATCAAAAACATAACTTGTAAAAAAAAGCCAAATCGATATTTTTCGGAAAGAATCGACATCCCTACTGACAATGACAATAAAAAAATGGCGTCAGTTTTATTGTAGGATTAGACATAAACAATGTAAGAATAATTGATTTTCAATAACTTTTTTCTCAAAAATTACGCGCTTCCGCATATTGTAACTTTGTGTGTGTGCTTATAATAGTGTAACTTTTCTGTAAAAATACGTATCAACCCCCAATCGATACATCAGCTTACGATTTGAATCGATTTAAAAATCGACCTTTTTCGGAAAGAATCAACATCCCTACTGACGACAATGACATTACAAAATGGCGTCTATTTTATGGTAGAATTAGATATAAACAATGCAAGAATAATTGATTTTCAATAACTTTTTTCTCAAAAATTACGCGCTTCCGCATATTGTAACTTTGTGTGTGTGCTTATAATAGTGTAACTTTTCTGTAAAAATACGTATCAACTGCCAACTCGATGGGGGTAAATGGAAAGCTAAGCCCCAAGTCTCTCAACTCAGTTCTTCTACCGTAAAAGGTTGTGAGATCCATGTAATACCAAATCGGTTCATTTATTCAGTCCTTACTTAAGGGTCCTTTTGTCTTAAGTTTTTACGTAATTAGCTAATCTTGTAGTGACCACATCAATACTAAAAATCTTTTATATATTAAACAAATAGATTGACTTGGCCATCGCATGAAAACACAATGATCTCTCAAGTAATACATATTACATTAAATTAGATTGTTTATATTGATTGGTATTATACTTACAATACAACATTAATATTTACAGGCACAGACAATACAACACTCCACCTGTTCCCCAATCCGGATAAGGATATAGACAGATTTAGGACTTGGGTTTATGCAGTTAGTGGTGAAATCCTTGCTCTTGAAAATAGTAAAATTTTTAAGCTACGCAGGGTTTGTCATGCACATTTTGAACCAAGATACTACACAATAAGTAATTGACTTGCTGCAAATGCAGTCCCAACATTGAATTTATCAGGTATATATATTATTATTGTATTATTTGTTTATTACAATAAAATAATTTTCTTAGTAATATTATAAATGTGAAAATATAGATAGGTTGTAGATGTCTGTTTTGTTTTCACGCCTCAACCATTTTTGAACCCAGGATCTCATGATCAGCAACCAAATTTACGACAACTAGACCAACATGGCAGTCAAAGTAAATTAAATACATATAATATATTTTATTTAAACAAAAATACCATATGGTGTCGGCGTAAGGATATCCACCACTCTATTACAACGTGGTACAACTAAACTAAACAATAAAATAATAATAAATACTAACAATTTATATGGGACTTTGCTTTATATAAAAATACAGTTTAATATGATTGTAAAAACAGTCAGATGATTTTTAATTTTTGTATTTAATGAGTATAAATGTTTTTTAAATAAACAGTCATCTTTTTCTTGAAAAAATTCCAAATTTATTATTTTTTATTTCCTGACATAAATTATCCTTTTATGCATATTAACTGTACAAAATAATTTCAATTATTCACATCTGTCAAGCGTCCCGCAACGGCTCACTATATTTTTTATTTAATATAGATTATAAATAATAATCTATATTGAATAAATGACTGTCTCATAGGTCTACTGGTCGTAAGTGTGATTGCTGATCATGAGGTCCCAGGTTCGAAGCCACGTTGAATCCACATATGTATCTAAAATTAGTTTTAGTAGCATATGTGTATGTGAGTGATCTTATAATCATTTACCACTGTCAGCATAATTTTAGGCTATTAGGTGTATATGTGTGAATCCATCATTGAACTTTATGGGCTGATAAAGAAAGAAAGAAGAAAGATGTGTACTTGAGTGCGGTTTAAGCAGTTAAGCATGGTTTCAGATGTACTTGAAATGTATGCAGCACTCCAGCTATCTTCTTTTTTTAGTCTTTGCAACATATTTTTTCCTTATGGTGAAAAAGATCTGTTCTACAGTCTCTCATAATAGCATCATAAGAGAATTTAATCTTGGAGTAAGAAAATCCACAACCCCATATCCTCCCCTGCGTATTGTAAGAAGCGACAGCGGGAAAGTAAAACAAAAGATAGGCAGCAGCATTATTTTGATATGGAGTAGTAGATTCCCTTACTCCACCACTACACATCCTAAAATAAATATGTTATTTTTTCGATTAAATAAACCATTACTGAGATGATAATTCTGCCGATTTATTTATAAAAGTTCTCGAACTTTTATTTTGAAAGTGTAGCGATTGCTTACTTTTCTGATTTTAAGAGGGAGTTCCAAAAGAGGACAGAATCTGTCTTTCTTGGAACTGAGAGAAAGGAATGCACAAAACTTGAGCTTAGAAATTATTCAATTTGTTTGATTAAAAGATATTATAATCCAATATATTGTATTTTTATTGTAAATTATACAAGGTTATTTTTTTAAAGAGTAGCCAAATGTTAAACTAAATAACGATAGACCACTATTGCAGTTTTGAAAATACGAGTAAATAAGGCTTCTATACTCACCAGTATTAAGCTGCTATTTGATGCTGGTATTCTGTGAAAGCATGGTCCTACCCTAGTTAAGCTGACCCATTCGTGCTACAACCATAATATAGCTGCAGTTTGGCCCTACCATGTGTTACAATTATATGTGTTTACTATAAAAGAAATATTAAAAAGTACTTAAGTATGTCATTACTCTAAGTCTCATTACATGATTATGATAGTAAAAAGCTTGAAGAGTCTGCCCCAAGAGAAAGACCTCTTAAAGCTAAAAAGCGGCGTAAATATTTAAAGAATTGTGAATGCTTTTCTGGATAGGCTAAATAATATTATAATATCTAATATGATGTTTAGATGTTTGTTTTGTTTTCACACCTCAACAGTTTTCATGCCTCTAAGGCTGAACGGATTAGGATGAAAATTAGATGAGGTACTGGATTAACAGATAGGATACTTTTTGTTTCGGTACAGTGATATAACCTAGGTCCATGCGGATGAAGTTTCTTAGTCTTTAATCTTGGAACCTATATAAACCTATTATATTTTGTCTTAGGATTTTTACTAAGAAACAGACCATTACAAGATATCACAAATACTAGTATACACCGAGTTGATGATATTGAACAAGGAGTTGCATCTACATCTACTTTTGATGCCAATCTTCAAAATGTGACGGGTAAAACATCTACAGGTCTGCCTATGTTCAAAGGTAGGTAATTTTAATTTTACTCTCATAATTATACCATAGTTGACAATCAAATTCAGCCGTAATATGAATAGTAATTAAAGTTAAAGCCTATATACACGTCCCACTGCTGGGCACAGGCCTCCTCTCATTTCTGAGAGGGTTTTAGGGCAAGGTAAGGACCGCTGCGCTGCCCCAATTGCGTGTTGGTGAACTTCACATGTCTTCGAAATATATATTTTTTTGTTATTTGTCAGACATGCAGGTTTCCTCACAATGTTTTCCTTCACCCCCGAGCATGTGGTAAATCATCACTTAAAATTGCAATTAACAATTTCATTGGTGCCGGCGGGAATCAAACCCGGGAAACTTACAGCGAGCGCTAACCATCTGAGCTACCACGGCTCAATTTGAATATGAATCTTAAGATTAATATGAATTATAAATTAAGTTTACTTTACAAAAAACACTAGATAACCAAGCTGCATTGTGGACTCTTCTACAGTATGTGTAGTTATTAAAAACAGTTATAATATAATTTAAAATTAAAATTTTCTACAACTGACTTCAATATAAATTATTAAGTATAACTCAAAAACTTGGTCAGACCTTAATCAAATTTATATGAAACCACATGGGCAGCACACACACACACACACACACAGGTAACACACATAAAAATTAACATACAGTTGAATTGATTTCCGTCTCTTGAATTTGAATTCAGTAGAAAATACAAATTGGAAGACACAGTAATATCCACAACACATTTCTTCAAGCCACTTAAAAGATTCAGTTTGTGTGAGCCACAACATATTTCTGGTGGTATATTGTGAGACAACTTGTGTATACTAATTAATTGTTATTGAGTAACCTTAACTATAATATTTTTGAAGCAATTTAATTAAGAACACTTGATAATAAAATTTTTGTGACTTACAGGAAAAACCATGAAACAACCTCTGTATGTGAAGCACTCTGATGAAACTCATTTATTAAAAAAAGAACTGTGCAAGCTGAAACGTACTAAAGAGTCTGTAGAGGCAAGGTTGAAGAAAGCCCTGAAACTTTCTGAAAATACAACATTTCAAAAGGCAGTAAAAAATGTTCTGTAGCTGCTTTAATTTTTATTATGATGCAGTTCTGCGAAGCCAAAAAAATGGGAATGGGACGGAGATTTACAAAACAAGATAAAGTCTTGTCTTTGGCTTTGTATAAGCAGGGACCGAGAGCATACAGATGGCTCAGAAAAATTTTCATTCTGCCATCTCCGCTAACATTGAGCAGAATGATCTCAACAGCGTCACTGAAGGCAGGATTAAATGAAAATATATTCAGGGAACTACAACAAAGAGCTCAAAAAATGAAGCCAAAGCAAAAACTATGCATGCTCTTGTTTGATGAGATAGCCCTTACTCCACACTTTGATTACAATAGAAGACGTGATACAATCACTGGATTCGTGGACAATGGTGAAACTACACAAAATAAAATAGCAGACCTCGCTCTTGTCTTTATGATATATTTTTTGTGCTGGCAGTACACCGAAAATCGAATTAGCCGTACAAATTAAGAATATTATAAGAAAACTTAATAACACTGGGTTTCAAGTAATGGGAACAATTTGTGACCAGGGGTGTGCCAATGTCAGCGCAATAAATTACCTCATAGAGGAAACAAGGGAGGAATATTTGAAGAAAAATAAGGAATTAAAACATAAAGTTTTCAAAATTGATGGCAAAAAAATAATTCCATTATATGACACACCCCACCTGATAAAAGGAATAAGAAATAATCTTCTAAGAAATAAGGAGGAAAAAACTGCAAAATGGGAGCACATTGTGCAATTGTATAAAGAAGACCCAGGCTACCAAGGGCTAAGGTTAATGCCAAAACTATCTGATAAACATATAATACCAGAAAAAAATTCAAAAATGAAGGTTAAATGTGCAACCCAAGTATTCAGTCAATCGGTAGCAGTTAACATGGGATATTTAGCAAGTAAGTATCTATAAATAATTGTAAGGAGGCTGAATGACTACAATAAATTCTCGCTTTTATAAAACAATACCATTGATCATGACATTATCATGAATTAAAACAGTCTTCTGCTAAATATGGGCCTCTCTAAAGTGACAGGTGTTACCGTAATAAATCCATGTGCTAGGTAGGTGGTGTGAGGATTCCAGTAGATGATTTGTTTTGATATCAATTTGACAAGTTAACCCTGCTGCCCATGAATCCACTGTAAAAACGCCATCACCACCCCACTCTACTGTTTATTCAATGTCTGTTGAGTTGTGTGTTTATGTAAATAAATTGATAAACAGTAGGCACAGATTCCTCTAGGAATCATATGTGTTTTACACATTGCAGTTTAAGTTTAGTTTATTATATATTAAGTTTTAGGAGAATAATATCAAAATGACATAAGTCTATTTTAAAGCATAAAAAGTCAAAAATTCAATCCTAGTAAACATTCTTATTTTGAAAATTTACTATGGGAACATTGTTGCTCACAAATCATTCTATTTCACATGAGACATTTCACATTACTTTTTATTTTTACAGGCAAAGGAGTAATTGATAAAGAATGCCAAGACACAGCCGACGTAATATTATTCTTCGACAACCTGTTCGACTCTTTAAATGGTAGTTACCTAAATTCGAAAAAGAAAGCAGGGAAAGCTCTTCTAGGTCCAGTAAGACCCAACTCTATCCATAAAAAAGTTTGGCGTGATGCTAAGCAAGTTTTACATACCATGAAATTTGTTAAAAATGGAAAATCTACAGTTGTTCCAAGTATATCAAATTGGCTCCAATCAATCGAAAATATGGAATATCTTGTTAATCAATTAGAAAAACGGCATGATTTGACGTCTCTTTGGATGAGGCACTTTAATCAGGACCCGCTCGAAAATTTTTTTGGCAGCATTAGAAGCCACGGGCATAGAAATGTGTCGCCCACATGCGCTGGTTTCGAAGCTGCCTTCTCTTTATTGATAAATAATATGAGCGGGTTGCATTCAGAAGGTTCAAATTGTGAGCAGGATTCATGTACTGTTTTTGAATCTTTGAATAATATATTTTTTGAAAGTCCCTCTTTGACGTCAAATCTAGCTGCTGAAACGCAAATTGATTATGAATACATAATGAGTAACAACATCTTCATTTTCAAAAATTAAGAATGTCAAAGTATTTGCACAATTGCAATATGTGGTAGGGTATGTTCTAAAGAAAATCAAAACTAAAGTTTTTAAAAAATGTAGTGTTTGTAATACAAATCTATTAAATAAAGAAAATGAGGATTCCTATATAACATTAAGAGAACACATAAAAAACAAAAGTTGTTTAACCGTACCCTGCTACTGAACTAAAATTGTTTCTCAAATATGCAAGATGTTGTTTGTTACTTATATTATTCGAAATCATACATGTGACAAAAATATAAAAACTTATATTAAAACTATATTTTCGGTTGCAATAAATTATAATTTTATTTTTTGCAATGAACATAAAAAAGGAATTATACAAACTTTAGAAGATGTATCATGTAATTTATTTTTATTTACTTGGTGTAAAAATATTAACAAAATTATGAATGGTACGAGGATAGACATAAATAGAGATGATTTGAATGAAGTTATGGCATATAATTATTATGTGAAAAGATTAAAGAAAAAGCAATAAATAAAAAAAAGTATTTTTATTTTAAATTTCCCTCTGTCTAGTTAAAGATTAATAAACTTCATTATGAGAATTTAATTTCGAATCTATACAGAAATAATTATTCTCATGATGAAGTTTATTAATTTTATCTTCATTTTTTGTTTATCTTAGAAGAAAGCCTATAATATCTATACATACTATGTAAACGATTTATGGTTATGTAGATACAATCACTAGTGCAGGTTTAAATCTGAAGGCAGCGCTGCAAGCGATTTCGACGACTGATTACTCTATCCTTGGTATAAAAAGATACTGTGGAAAACACCACGAAAACCATAGACATAGTATCTTCCTCAATCTACGACGAAAACTTGAATCAATCCTCTATCTACGACGAAAACTTGAAGCCATAGAGTATAATAACTGTCCTATACAGGAACTTGAAGCTAGGCTTGGGCAAAAAATATCGAAATATCGATATTTTTAATAAAAATATCGATATATATCGTCGATATTTGAAATCACGATATATCGATATTTATTTTAGAGTATCGAATTCGTATCAATTTCGATATATTTTAAAATTTTGTATCGTTTTTTCGTCGTCCAACCATCAGTAAATAAAACCCTATCTTTACATCATGCAAATGATGACGATATATCGATATTTATCACGCGATATATATCGATACTGTTTAAAAATATAGATTCGATTTATATCGATATTTTTTTTCCCTTGCCCATCCCTACTTGAAGCTGTGACTTGCAGAGACAAATGTCAAACAGTCAATGTACAGATAAAGCAGAGTGTGAAATACGGTGACTTGTCAAACATAGACTAAAAATATGATATTTTTATTAAAATATTCACAAAATGAAAACATCTATCAGTCAAAATATGAAAGAATTAATTTCTTCATTAAAATAATACATGAATACGTATTTTTTGTATTAATATATATCATTTCCGATAAAACCGGTAACTACAACTGGGTATCAAGCACTATCGACGACTGATTACTCTATCCTTGGTATAAAAAGATACTCTGTGGAAAACACCACGAAAACCATAGACATAGTATCTTCCTCAATCTACGACGAAAACTTGAATCAATCCTCTATCTACGACGAAAACTTGAAGCCATAGAGTATAATAACTGTCCTATACAGGAACTTGAAGCTAGGCTTGGGCAAAAAATATCGAAATATCGATATTTTTAATAAAAATATCGATATATATCGTCGATATTTGAAATCACGATATATCGATATTTATTTTAGAGTATCGAATTCGTATCAATTTCGATATATTTTAAAATTTTGTATCGTTTTTTCGTCGTCCAACCATCAGTAAATAAAACCCTATCTTTACATCATGCAAATGATGACGATATATCGATATTTATCACGCGATATATATCGATACTGTTTAAAAATATAGATTCGATTTATATCGATATTTTTTTTCCCTTGCCCATCCCTACTTGAAGCTGTGACTTGCAGAGACAAATGTCAAACAGTCAATGTACAGATAAAGCAGAGTGTGAAATACGGTGACTTGTCAAACATAGACTAAAAATATGATATTTTTATTAAAATATTCACAAAATGAAAACATCTATCAGTCAAAATATAAAAGAATTAATTTCTTCATTAAAATAATACATGAATACGTATTTTTTGTATTAATATATATCATTTCCGATAAAACCGGTAACTACAACTGGGTATCAAGCACTATCGTCATAAAAATCAGTCACATAAGGAAGGGTCCCCTAGCTATGAGTCCGTTGCGTAGATAGATGATTGACTACATAAAGCATTCGCGTATGTTTTGAGATAGAAATAGGCGGGAGGTACTTTCACTGGGTTACCAGATATTGTTCCATTTCCCCCGTTATGGGTTTATTTATATTCACAGCACTTACATTCATACAAAAAACTTAATTGTTACCATAAAAAATGTTCTTTTATAATTCAGATGATTAATTCATTTCTCTTGAAAATACATTCTGTGACTAAAAACTACGGGCGGAAACGGCGTTAAAACAGAATCATCATTCTGTATTCAACGGCGCATCGACGATTTTACTGGACATTCAATAAACTCTTTGGATTTCGACGGCACTAAGTGAAGACGCTAGTAGCACAAAGTGTGATATCGTTAATAAATAACAATATGTTATGTATGTACTTAAATATTAATTGAGAATAAAAATATTAAATAATAAACAAAAATTTGCTTGTGTTACGCCCTACGGCTGCTCCCTTAAAGCTCAAATCCTCAGGGGCCCATTCAGCTGAGTTTCGACGAGCAAACGTAGGTCGGGCCTCCTCCAGGCCAAAGTGGAAAATCTCTAACTACACTAAACTATATGGGAGAAAGCTAGAAACACGTAGTACTTACCATTATCCGAAGCTAACTTCGCACCAAGGCTTGGGTAGGCCGTGAGTGTGTGTAATAGTGGATGGCGAGTAGTGTACAGTGAGGTGTGAATGTATGGGGCCTTGGCAAGCATAGGCATAGTACAACTTACAAGACTCCACAGAATTAGTAATTCATTTATGGGGCAATGTATACGCTTTTACAACAGAATCCCAGAACATGTTCAAAGTTTGTCAATAAACAAGTTTAAAAGTTTTATTAAAGAAAAACTATACAAAAAGGGTTATTATAATATCAAGGAATACATGAATGAAAATAACCCCTGGGAATAAGGTGATCGCCACCATGCTGGTTCTATGAAAATTCATTTAAAATTGTATAAAAAAAAATTATTGTTAAGTGAAATTATGTTTAAAAAAAAAAGTCCCGCTGGGTTTCTTGCTGGTTCTTCCCAGGACAGAGGTATTTTCCGAACCAGTGGTAAATAAAATAATGACTTTCAATAAGTATTATGTAATAATCCATATTGAATAAAAATCATTCTATTCTATTCTATTCTATTCTATGGGGCCTTGGCAAGCATAGGCGACCAGCAGCGGCCGAGTTCCAGGCTGCTCCAAAATGCTGCACCGCTTCAGACTGCTTCGGCGCCGGACCACTTCTTCGTTCGTCACGACGACAGTCCATTAACTCTATCGTACTATTAACTAACATGGCTTACCTAATAATTTCGGGCACGACGTTACCCGGTGATCAGATGCTCGACAATAGGAGCAGGGGGGGGGGGGGGGTTGACGACGACTTGCCTGGCGGATTCAGCCTCTCACTGGGCATGGCTCGTAAGTCATCAACGGCGCCGTCGCGTTCTCGATCTGCCGGCACTGCTCCTCCAAAAACCGCAGCAGGTCATAGAAGGGCGGAATATAGGAGGCCTCGTCCCCGCCGTACCTCTCCTCAAAATGGATTCGAAGGTCGAGAGGTAAACGGGACAGCACGATGCGAAGCAACAAAAAAGCCCATTCGCCCACTGGTAAATCCAGCCGCCTCAACATATTACAGGCCACCAAGACTGGATCCAACAGGTCCGGACGTAGTCTGGCCCGGTCACTAAGCAGCCGGAGGCTTAGAAGCTGCTTAACATGTTCGTCCGCAATTCGCCGGACGTTGGCGTATCTTCTGGCTAGGAGGTCCCGAGCAGTCTGGTAGGCGTCGTCCGACAATCTCAAGTGGCCGACGACGCCCAGGGCCTCCCCCTCCAGTGAGGCCAGGAGGTACGCCATCTTTTGGCTCGGGGTCAAGTCACTCCGGGCGTCCACTAGGCTGTCGAAAAGACCAACGAAGGTCAGCCATTCGGAAAGGACCCCGGAGAACTTTGGCAGGTCCAGAGTTGGGAGTCGTCCCAACAGCTCCGGCTGAAGCTGCTTCCGAGAGGACTCGGGCAGGTCACTCATCCGAACTTCACGCGCCTCCTCGGCATACCTGCCTTCAGCCTCGATCAACTCGTCCGTGAGCGAAAAGAACTGCTCATAGTCCGCGAAGCAGGAGTCCAGGACTCCCTTCTCCACATCGGAATCCTCGAGCTCAGCGTAAGCCTCCGGCACTGCGGCCCTTCGAGCATCCACCTGCTCGAACCGCTTCATCAAGTTATGGACCCTATCCGGTCGACCTATCAAAGCATGGGCGCTTGTGGCCCAGCGTAACTCAGTCCGCAGGCAACGGATTAGTAGCTTGGGTGATGACATCACTACTAAATACAAATTACGACGCGGCTCGAGCACAATTTACAAAGATAACAAATAAAAAATACAACAAAAAATTAACAGTTAATAAATGCAGTTCCTATCAAATCGCGTTGAATAGAAATTACACAAATATGAATTACTACGTATCAATCAAATACAAGTTAACACAAAAGAAAAGACACAAATCAAATTAACAAATAACAAATACTAGTGCGATCAAATCAAGTTAAATTCAAATGGCGCAAATACAAATTACTACTCTTTAGTTCAAATACAAATTATAGTACAAACGAAGATACGCATCACGGTCGATCAACAGAAAATGCCTAGCTCGGAAATCGACCCTTCGATAAGTAATCCACTACAACTATCCGACAACGATAATTAA